AAATAGTCAGGCACGACCAGGTGACTGAACAACAACAACAACATATGACCTTCTAATTTTTGTCTAACATTCTAATTTTCCTCAGGTTGCAATCTGCTTAATATTAAATCATAAACATTTTCCCATGTTGTTATATAATCTTTATTATCAATATTATCATTTTACATGGTGACATACTAGTTCATATTATATATAAAAAACCATTTCTCCATCCATGGCTGGATAATGGGAGCTATGCAGTTTTTATGGGTAACTTGTCTGAAATGAAAATATCTCCTGCCATGTCAGTAAACAAGAAATGTCACAGCCATCAGCGATTTCTGGCCTCCAAAAGTGAATGAGGGCTCTCAAAACTTCGATCCAGCTGATGCCACCAGCCCCCACAGAGATTGCTGAGGACCTGGGAGAATGCAAGAACCACGGTGAACAATGAAACAGGACTGGCCCAGATAGCTGAGTTACATATGAAAGGAATGAATTCAGTGAGCCCAGAGGCTTGCATCTCCCCATACATAGAATGCTAAATTCTTTAACTTGATACCTGTTCTTTGAAGTTCAGACTTCCTGCTCCCTTTGTTGCAAACTTGTACATAGCCTAACTTCCCCTCTGTCTCCTTGGAGCAGTTTTCTCAGAGCTACTGATCAGCTTTCTCCTGGGCTTGGAGTCCTAAACATTCTCACCAAATAAAATAACTCTACTTTCAGGCTGTGACTATATTTTTCATTTGACACTTGAAATAAATTTTTTCATAGGAGGTACTTTGATTCATTACATTCAGAGGAATCTGGTTTCTAGGGACACTCTTGGGTTCAATGGACCTATGAATTTATTAAAAATGAGAGTTACCCAGTATCTATTCTACCAGCTGTTTGTAGAAAATAAATATTGGAAAGTTGCTAGCATGGAATTAGTATTCTAAAAAAAGATTAAAAAAGAATAAAGGAGTGGAAAGTGCTCTTTGGGTGTCAAGGAGAGTCAAAGAGTAATTTAAGACATCAATAGAGAGATTAGTGACTGTAATAATGTGTTTCTGTGTTCCGTATAAGAAGGCATACGGCATAGTCTGTGCAAAATGAAGCCAGAATTCCAAGCAGAAATGGAATAACTTTAAGAAAACTTTTCTTGGCACTGTAAGCTCACACATGTACTTTTATATGCTACAAAGTTGAAAAAAAAACTTAAAAAATTCTGAAGTATTGAGGCCATAGCTATAAAAAAATTAAGGTTTTAAACTAGATTTGTGAGAGTAAGAAAATATGTGTTCTGGTATGCTGCTATTTTGTACAGTACTTTTTCATCCTGGCAAATATTCTGTTTCTGCCAATGTGAACAATTATTTTTTTCTGGCAAAAACAGTTTGAATAAAAATAGTAGCAAGCCACCATTTCTTAACATAGTAAAGTTGAAAATTTTAAACATTTAATGGAAATTCTTTACACATTTATTTCATTGCTATTCAAAGGAAGTAGTAGGAATTCCATGAAAGTTTGTGCTATGACAAAAGTAAATTGTTAGTGTAAAGGTATTTGGAAGCTAGAAGAATGATAAATAGGAGATGATTTAGAAAGAAACAAGTGTATCTATTTTAAAACATTGTTATTATTAGCTTCAACCTTCTCTGACTTGACAAGACTCCCTCAGACTGGAAAAGATTGGGCAAGTAGACTACCAAATATTTATTCATTTCTTCTTTGTATTTAACAGAAACTGAATTTAGCTCAGTACATCCATGGTCCAGGTAAAGTACTTTCCCAGACTTGTTTGCAGTTACGGGTGACTATATGACATTTTCGGCTGATGAAATAATGGACAAAACTTGCTAGGTTCTGCCTCTTTGCTTTTTCTTTCTTCTTGGTCTTGCCTGGAAAGCAGGTAGTGAAGTTGAAGGTAACAGCCAATCTGAGACCATCTCACAGCAAGGACGAGGAATTAAGCCACCCAATGAAGATGTGTGCTTAGTCGCTCTGTCTTCACAGACTGTAGCGCCCCAGGCTCCTCTGCCCATGGAATTTTCTAGGCAAGAATATTTGAGTGCGGTGCCCAGGGGATCTTCCCAACCCATGGATAGAATCTGCATCTCTTTCATCTCCTGAACGGGGAAGTGAAAAGAAGTAGAATCGTGTGGCACTGGTGAAACCATATAACCACTGGGTCACTCTTCTCTGCACTTTGTTTATGAGGCCAGTTCTGTGAAGCTGTTTAGTTAAGCCACTGTCATCAGATTTCGGTCACATCCAGTGCACACGAATCCTAAGTAACACAAGAGCCCTTGATGTAATCTCTGTTTGTAACCTGTACTTTTATTTATGAACTGCCCATTATGACAGAGAAGGCAATGGCACCCCAGTCCAGTACTCTTGCCTGGAAAATCCCATGGACAGAGGAGCCTGGTAGGCTGCAGTCCATGGGGTTGCAATGATTTGGACACGACTGGGCAACTTCACTTTAACTTTTCACTTTCATGCATTGGAGAAAGAAATGGCAACCCACTCCAGTGTTCTTGCCTGGAGAATCCCATGGATGGAGGAGCCTGGTGGGCTGCCGTCTATGGGGTCACACAGAGTCAGACACGACTGACGCGACTTAGCAGCAGCAGCAGCAGCCCATTATGATAATGATGAATTTAATGATTTATGTTCAGTTTGAGTCTGAGCTATTAATTACATTAGCAAGTTAACATTTATTAAGTATTCCCTCTTCCTCATCCTTGTATCTAATACCAAAAAGTGTCTGACACGTTGTGTGCACTTAATAAACATTTACTTACTAGCAATTTGGAAAGTTGCTTTGACTCCAAAGTGCATGTGTATGTATATATATACATGCACATATCTTTACATAAGCATGTAGCTGAGCAAACATTATATATAATTATAAATTATGTGTGTAAAAATACTTAAATGGCTTTTAAATACTCAGATATTAAATAATTACTCTATGAGAATCAGTTCAGTCGCTGAGTCGTGTCTGACTCTTTGCAACCCCATGGACTGCAGCACGCCAGGCTTCCCTGTCCATCACCAACTCCTGAAGCTTGCTCAAACTCATGTCCATCGAGTCGATGATGCCATCCAACCATCTCATCCTCTGTTGTCCCCTTCTCTTCCTGCCTTCAGTTTTTCCCAGCATCAGGGTCTTTTCAAATGAGTCAGCTCTTCGCATGAGGTGGCCAAAGTATTGGAGTTTCAGCTTCAGCAGCAGTCCTTCCAATGAATATTCAGGACCGATTTCCTTTAGGATGGACTGGTTGGATCTCCTTGCAGTCCAAGGGACTCTCAAGAGTCTTCTCCAACATCACAGTTCAAAAGCATCAGTTCTTCGGCACTCAGCTTTCTTTATAGTCCAACTCTTACATCCACACATGACTACTGGAAAAACCATAGTTTTGACTAGACAGACCTTTGTGCTGTCTTGGTTGGCCATAACTTTTCTTCCAAGGAGCAAGTGTCTTTTGATTTCATGGCTACAGTCACCATCTGCAGTGATTTTGGAGCCCCCCAAAATAAAATGTCTCACTGTTTGCATTGTTTCCCCATCTATTTGCCATGAAGTGATGGGACTGGATGTCATGATCTTAGTTTTCTGAATGTCAAGTTTCAAGCCAACTTTTCACTCTCTTCTTTCACTTTCATCAAGAGCCTCTTTAGTTCTTCTTTGCTTTCTGTCTTAAGGGTGGTGTTATCTGCATATATGAGGTTACTGATATTTCTCCTGGCAATTGTGATTCCAGCTTGTGCTTCATCCACCCTGGCATTTTGCATGATATACTCTGCATATAAGATATACTGTCTGAGAATAACTGCCACGATTTCCTCTCCAGTTAGGGTTTGTATAGGGCTGTAATAATCGACACCATGTATTGTAGTGAACTCTAAGGTCTTAGAGAGAAACACAAGAGAACTGATGTGGTAGGAAGGGGAATAAAGAAACAATGACTTTAGATTCCCTCTAGAAGCATTTGTCAGACCACCTGAATAAGCATTCTTTGTACAAACAATACAAAGGGGCTTTCTAGGTGGTGCAGTGGAAAAGAATTCACCCAGCAAAGCAGAGGACATGGGTTTGATCCCTGGTCCTGGAAGATTCCACGGGGAAACTACACCCATGTGCCACAACTGAGCTCTGCGCTCTAAAGCCCACAAACTGCAGCTCATTAGCTCTCTCTGCCACAGATACTGAAGCCCGCACGCCCTAAAGCCTGTGCACCTCAACAAGAGAAACCACCGCAGTGAGAAGCCTGGGCATTGCAACAACGAGTAGCTGCCGATCAGCACAACTAGAGAAAAACCTACGCGCACCAACAAAGGCCCAGCACAACCAGAAATAAATTAAAAAAGAAAGAAAACATGAAGTTTGGGAAAGGGAGGAAAACTTAACACTTTTTACAAAAGACAGAAATTCTTCTTTTACCGTGAGGGTGGGACATTAATTTTGCTCTCCATTTTATTTTTGGTGGCCAGAAAACCTATGTAACACATAACTGCTCAGTAATACTTGGTGAAAAGGATGGCCTGAAAGAAGAGAGGAAATCTCTTGAGAAACCAGCACTCCAGAGAGAAACACCCTGGGAAAGCCATTCAAGAGCCATGACTTAATGAGCTTTCTGGAGATTTGAATATGCCGCACATACAGCTTTTTTTTTTTTTTCCAAATTCTCGCTGTTTAGAGTTTTGATATTTTTAAATATCCAGTGATAGAAAATAAATAATTGATGGCTATTAGTCAAAATCCTTCTCAACATAGTACTCCAGGGAACTGCTAGCAATTGATTAGAGTAGACAAGAGACCTTATTGCTATCTGTAATTTAAGACTTAATATTCTTTTTTCCAGGTCAAGTAACTTAAAATTGTTTTGTAATCACCAGGGGCTTCCCCACTGACTCAGTGGGTAAAGAGTCCGCCTGCATTGCAGGAGCTGCAGGAGACTCGGGTTCAGTCCCTGGGTTGGGAAGATGCCCTGGAGGAGGAAATGGCAACCCACTCCAGTGTTCTTGCCTGGAGGAGTCCATGGACAGAGGGCCTGGTGGGCTACAGTCTACAGGATTGCGGAGTGTACACCACTGAGCAAAGACACTATAAAGTCACCAGAATCACCTCCCTAGCATTATCTGAAGACAGGTGATTTTTTTTCTCCTCAAATACTATTGTGGTAGTTTCAAAATAGTTTCAGATTCTTTGATATTCCTTCCTTTGGTGGAGGGGAAGGAAATTCCCTTTCCATTGAGTATGAGCTGGAGTGGACTTAATGAATCTCCTTTTTTTTTTTTTTTGGTGAGGTTTTTTTTTTTTTTCTCTTAAAGAAATGTTGTTTATTTATTTATTTGGCTGTACCAGGTCTTAGTTATGGCATTTGTTGCAACATGCAGGTTCTTTTTTATTTTTAGTTGCAGCATGTGGGATCTAGTTCTATGACTAGAGATGGAACCTGGGCCCCCTGCTTTGGGAATGTGGAGTAGTGGACCCTGGACCACCAGGGAAGTCCCATGAATCTCACCTAATAAAAAATATAATGAAAGTGACAGTGCATGGCTTTGAAGACTGGGTATAAAAGGCACTGTGACTCTCTGCTAATTCTCTTTCTCTATCCCTGTCTGTTAGATGATTTGCTGTGGGAAAGCTGGCTGCCATGTGGCGATAAACCAAGGCCTCCTGCAAACAGACATGCACATGAGCCATCCAACAGTGGCTCCTCCAGCCCCAGTCAGGCCTTCAGGTGAGACTGCAGCATCTGCCAGCATCGTAATTACAACCTTATGAGAGACGGAGCCAGAGTCACCCAGCTAATCCACTTCCAAAATCCTGACCCACAAATAGTAACTGAGTATGTGTTTACTGTTTAAACCATGAAATTTTGGAGTAATATTTCATGCATAAATGGATAACAATGTTGTTGTTGGTTAGTCACCAGTCGTGTCTGACTCTTTGTGATCCCATGGACGGCAGCACACCAGGCCCCCCTGTCCCTCACCATCTCCCGGAGTTTGCCCAAATTCATGTCCATTGCATCGGTGATGCCATCCAGCCATCTCACCCTCTGATGCTGTCTTCTCCTTCTGCCCTCAATCTTTCACAGCATCGGGGGCTTTTCCAATGAGTTGGCTGTTCACATCAGACGACCAAAATACTGGAGCTTCAGCTTCAGTATCAGTCCTTCCAATGAGTATTCAGATATTGATTTCCTTTAAGACTGACTGGTTTGAGCCCCTTGCTGTCCCAGGGACTCTCAGGAGTTTTCTCCAGCAGCACAGTTGGAAGGCATCAATTCTTTGGCACTCCAAATACTGTTATTATCTGGATAACAATGGTTTGATCCCCGGGTTAGGAAGATTCCCTGAAGGAGGGCATGGCAACCCACTCCAGTACTCTTGCCTGGAGAATCCCATGGACAGAGAAACCTGGCAGGCTACAGTCAGTCCAAAGGATCGCAAAGAGTCAGACACAACTGAAGTGACATAGCACATAGCTGTATTAAATTTTTTTTTAAAAGAAATAAAACTCATTTACAGCCCTTTTAAGACTAACAGCCTCTATTCCCAATTTCACCACCTTGGCATTGTCAAGTTAGCTACTTACCCATCAATACTTGCTGTTTTCTTTCTTCTACAGCAGGGTCAGAAAACCCTTTTCATACGGGGCCAGATAGTAAATAGTTTAGGCCTTATAGGCCATGTGGTCCTTGTCACAACTACTAAGCTCTGCTCTTGTGGTAGAGAGCAGCTGTAGACAATATTTAAATGAATGAGTGTGGCTGTGTTCTAATAAAAGTTTATTTATGGATACTGAAATTTGAATTTCACATAATTTTCACATCACGGAATGTTATTCTTCTTTTGATTTTTTTTCAACCACTCAAAAATGTAAAAACCATTCTTAGCTTGTAGGTCACTTGAAATCAAGCCTCGGGCCTGATTTGGCCCACGGGTGTAGTGTGCTGATTCCTGTACTAAAGTAATGGAATTCTTGATATTTAGCTGGCACATGGATGCCCAAATAAAGATTTTTTTTTTTCAGACAGTAGCCATGTAACCACACTATGGTTAATGAAAAGTAGGTGATATGTGCAAATTCTGAGTCATGCTCTTAAAGGAAAGTAGTGTACTCTCCTCTTTTATTCTCCCCTTTTCGCTTTTCACTGGCCAGAATGAACATCACCTTGGACCATGCGAAGGCAGAAATATCCTTGGTATGGTAGAAAAATAGAAAGAGTTCGAATTCCTGCCTCTGGACCGTGTGTGGTCATACTGCTACAAGAATGAAAACTAAGACTACAATCGTTTTGTAAAGAGACCTCTGTTTTAGGGCCTTTTCACACTTGGCCAAATCTATAATCAGCTGGTTAGACTTTGGCTAACATCTCTAAATGTAATGACAGCTTAATGTGTTGTACTTTCAAGAAGCACTGCAGAAACTTTCAAGAAACAGCTAAGTGTGGAGTTAAAAAATTCATTCTTGGTTCCTTATCAAGTCAAGGTAGTCTGGATATAGGACAGATTTTTTTTTTTTTTTTTTTTAGGACAACTTTGACTTTTTATTTAAAACCAGAATTTCTAAATATTGCAGGTGTTGTGCCTTTTCTTCTGCTTGTTGATTTCCTGCGATCTGAAAGTGAACAAAGGTGTCTTTGTATCCTTTTGCTCCTATCTCCATCAAACTTACAGCCAAAGAAAGAACATTATTAATTGGGAGAAACAAACAAATTTACTTCTTGTAATCTCTGATGAATAATTAATTCACATTGTCCTTTGTGGATTTTATTTATGTAAATGAATGGATTTAAAATCTAGCCTCCACTCCTACCACCCACAAGTATCCCATGGCCCTATGAACTTTTTCATTTACATGATAGCTGAAAGAAACTGTAATTTTAAGAGACATACTTATCTTGTGAGCATGTTTTATTTTCCACAGCAGAACTTGGGGGATCCCAGGCTGTAAACAGCAGTGGCAAAATGATCCCACAGACCACTATAAGAAATGTCAACCACCACTCAGCCGCACCAGCGTATCAGGCATTGTCCGAACACAGTTGTTTGAGTTCTTGTGCTGACCCACAATATTCCCCATTCACCTCTCTCCCCCTCTTCTCTCCTTGCCAAAAACCAAACTAGCTTTAAGTAGGCACAGTCTTTCAAGTCCTGGCTGCTGTTGTCCCCGAGAGATTTCAGGGAGAAGCAGTCTTGGCTGATGCTTAGACCCAGAGGTGGAGCTGTGAGGGGAACAATGTCTGGCTTTTGAGAACAGCCGGAGCTTCGGAGGGAGAAAGCAGCTTGGCGAATGAGGAAAGAATGTGCTTGTCACTTCAAGAGGCAAGAAACTTCCATTCCCCCCTGCCTCTGCCAGCTAGTGTTTATTGGAAAGGACAGAGTGGTGATGATGGCAGGTGACTCTGGTTTGGATTTTATGGAATTTTTCATGTTTATTTTGCCTTCTCAAAGAGCAGATAAATGTAGAAATCCCACAGTTAACTATTCTGAATTCTGCTTGTGTTTTTATTGGAAAACTGAGTGTTGTTCCTCAGTTATTTTGAAGAAGGCCACCCCTGGCCCATTTTAAAACTCTGCTTGCTTTCCTTGTATGTAAGCTAATATTTGTTACAGGGGTTTTGGAGAAAAGTAGCAGAGGGTATTTAAATGGAAAGTGAAGGCCCAGGGGAGACAAGATCCTGCTCTAAGAATACGAGAGAATTTATGGTTGAGAGGAGCAGGTGGGTCCATGTAGACAAAATAGTTTTAGCTGAAACCAAAGGTGAGCTTATGAAAAATTTGACATGGTAGGGGGGAAGAGTTTTTTAAGATGTCATACTCTTTGGTCATGTTTTGATTTCTTGTTGATTTTCTTGGATTCTTATGGAAATGGATAGAACAACAGAGACTATTTTCCCATTCTGAATTCCATTTGTTAGACTTGGAAAGTGTGACCTGATTTTGAATATCACTTTTAAAATGAACAAAAAGACATTCCAATATTAATATTTGAAAAATAATGTTACCATTTTAAAATCTCTTTCCTCTCTCTCTGAACTCTCAACATTTTTGCCTGCTTCCAGAATTCTCCCTTTAGTTGTACCTAACTTTTATTTATTTATTTAAGTTTGGCAGTAGGAATGTTAGTTGGATCTTGGGACATAAATACATCTAGAAGTTAAAATGGGGAATAAGGTGGGAGTATTGGGAAAAATATTTCTTGGGTTCTGCCTATGTGATAGACCTCTTTACTAGGTCCTTTCCTTATTAGAACCTGTGAAGTAAGAATTATTATGACCATTTGGTGGGGGTGGGGGGTGGGGCTTGCAGGATCTTAGTTCCCTCACCAGGAACCAAACCAGGGCCTTCAGCACTGAAAGGGCAGAGTCCTAACCACTGGACTTTCCTGCCAGGGAATTCCCTATTACAACCATTTTAAAGAAGGGAGACCGAGGCTCAGTAAGGGTCTTTATAACTAATATTACCTGATGTTCTATTAATAGTAAAGTCAAGTTATCTGTATTTAAACATAGTTTTGATTCCATATTCTTTCTACTGCTCTTTGTCCACATAATAATATCTACATTGATTATGTTTAAATTGATTGTTGTTTAGTCACTGAGTTGTGTTTGACTCTGCAATTCTATGGACTGTAGCCCACCAGGCTCTTCTGTCCATTAGATTTCCCAGCAAGAATACTGGAGTGGGTTGCCATTTTCTTCTCTAAGAAGTCTTCCTGACCCAGGGATCAAACCTGTGTCTCCTGCATTGGCAGGCAATCATTAAAAATTGATTGATCAGGTACTTCCCTGGTGGTCTAGTGGTTAAGATTCTGAACTCCCATTGCAGGGGCCACAGATTCGATCCCTAGTCAGGGAACTGGATTCCACATGTCGCAACTAAGACCCAGAGCAGCCAAATAATTAAATTTTAAAAATTGACTGATCAGAAGAAACCTGTGTATAATTATTTAGGACTCCTCTTTTGCTAGTGTACTATGATTCTAGGGAATAAGACTTCATTACTAGGATTCAAGGGACCGTAGAATCAACTACATAGTTACTTTGTACCTCCAAATTTCCAAGACTAGGATTAGTACTTCTCAAGACAAAAATAATCTGATGTGGTCTCTTGTCATTACCCATGATGAAATTCCTGTCCTGGCAAGGTTCAGCAAACCACTTCCGACATGGTGGCCTTCTACATGTCCTGTGTGGTAACTTTTCTTGATCTTGGGCACTCTTCATTGAGGCCAGAGTAGAAGTTTCACAAGGAATGTCTGGTGTGAATCATTACAACTTCTTTGTAGAAAGTACCTCTCAGAGATGCTGTTCATAGAAGTAGATTGTGAGCAAAGCAGCAACTTGGAATTTCATACTCTTTCCCAGCACACATATAAAGAAATGAACTGGATGCAAAGAAGTCAAAGAAGTCAGTGAACCTCAGAGAATATCGCAAGAGCAACATCTGCCACAGTCTTCTTTATTCACCAGCATCAAGAGCATCTCCAATGGGTTGACACATTTTTCTTTTTTTTGAGTGTCTGCTTTATGCTAATTGTGCTGAAAATATTAAGAATGCTTTTAAAAGGTAGAAAAATTCTTTACTCAGAGAGATCACTGCTTTGCTGTGTTTACAAATAAAATAAATTAATCACAAACATGGCTTAAGGAGTGTCTCAGCCACTCTGAGAATGTAGAAGTATTTCTTTTAATCCAGAATATTTAATGAATCAGAACTTCTAGTTCCC